TCTGCTAAAGCAAAGAAGTTTTCATTTATGCGAATGAATATAGCTTCTGGAACTAACTCCTCGCCGCGTTCTACGGGACAAAAGGAGGGCATCCGCAGGGCCTAAGGGGCAGTTCCTTAGTGCGCTCAAGGATGAATTTTTTAGACAGATTGATCAAAATCAATGTATCGTGAACTTCACTTTTCGAGTACATAAAAATAACGTACACTCTATGGAGAACAAACGAATATCACACAGATTACACTATTAAGATATATAACTTTTTCATGGTTTTTCACAAGTGGGATAATGAAGACATATCGAACACAGCATATTACCTCCTATTACTTTACATCATTTTATAGCTCTTGACGAGTTCTATCTACTCTTAAAAAAGTGTTATTGATAATATGAAAAACAAACAAATATCGCGCTGACATATTGTCAACATATATGAATTTTCTATAGTTTACCTACCCTGTTATACAGGGGCAATCTTGAGAGCAACCCATTTATTCCTATAATTTAGTACCATGTTATAGCCTATGAAATTCTCTATTGAATGGTATATAATACATGGGGTTTTATTCGTAAACAGCACTAAATTATTTTTTTCAAAAAAAAAAATATGAAAAAATCATAGGGAAATATCAGTATTTTTGCAATAACTCGGGAATGGCCCAGCCAATTAGGCTCATCTTCGAACTCGACCGCGATCTAGACAAGACTGAACTGTGCACAAAATTTCAGCTCAATCGGACTATTTTTTCAAACGTTATCGTGCATACGGCCGGACGGCCACACTGACCGATTCTAGTAGTGTACTCACTTTTTGAGTACACAAAAAGAATCTATAATATCTATAATTGGAACAGTAACTTTTAGAGTAAAAAAGGTCGAATCGTGTCGATAATATACGAACGCATTATTGTAAATATACTAATTGTTAAATGTAAACTAAACATATGATAAAAAAAATTTTATTCAATTTTGTTCCAAACTAAAACCGTGTTGTTACAAGCTTGATCTTTACAACGAATACCAAACGTACGATTTTTCATATCTATTAAAACTGCTGTTGTATTTTGTTGATGATGTGCTCGTTTACGTGGACAATATCGATAGTTTCCTCCTATATTGAAGAATAGTACATCTGTATTACGATTACCACGAACACATGATCGAATAAAACCTTGATGCTTATTATCGGATTGAATTAATTTTTCTACAAAAGGTCTAAATTGTTGCATGTCTTGTTCGAATTCATTTGTAGAAATACGTGTAATAATTTCTGATGGAATATTAAGTTTCATAGAATTGGATGTACTCGTAAAATGTGAACCATATTTAAAATAAATGTTTGAATGAGTATTAATATTGTTAAAATTAATAAAACTATAATTCTCAGATAGAGTTTCATATATTGTTTCGGTTGATTTACATAAAAAGTGATCGTCTTTTAAAAATACTATAGGTACGTCTATTAGATCATTATATGTTATTAAAGATTTTTTAAGCATTTCATCATAGAAATTTTTTGAATCATGATCAAATGGAAAAGTTGTTGTTTGAAGTAATGAATTTGTCTTATTTATTTTAACCGAATTAAATAATCGAAATTGTTGGTTTCGAGTATAAACACTTAAATCAATTGCTAGTGTGTATCGATTTTGTTTATTTAATACTAAGAGATACGCAATTTCTGCAGCAGTAATATATTTAGAACAGATATAGCATCGAGCACAACATGTACGAATTAAATTGATATGCGGCATTAATAATGTAATTAAATCACATGGAATATTTTTGTAAAGTAACATTTATGTTGAATGATGGACATTTATGCATAGCGGTTAAATAGAGAAAATAATGTATTAATACTTTAATAAAAAGTCCAAGTGTTATATTGTTTTCAAATAATATCGATGGATTTGAATGAATAAGATGATAAGAAATTTTTTTCGAGTTCGATTTATATAATAAGAATTCTAAGAATTTTATCTACTATAATAATTATAGATTAGATTTATTTATAAACAATGTAATATATTAGATTATTATTAAGGTAACAAACTTCACATATTAGATTATAGTTTTTTTTCGCTTAACTGTGCTTTCAAAATGAATTGTTTTTTTTCTTAGTATTATAGTGAGACTGAATAAAGAGAAAACTATATAAGACCAACTAATTAATAAAAAATACATTTAGCTTACGATTCGAGAACAAGAAATTGTTTTAAAATCAAATTAGTATATTTATTTGGTTCAATATTTTGTTCAGAATTTAAAAATAAGTGAAGCATTTTAAGGCAACAACTAATTCCAATTTGAGAATTTTGAATATCAGGATTATTATCAATATAATATTCAAAGTCGATGTATGCTTTTACTTTACTATTAGGAGATATTAATTCGTAAAGAGATCGTTCAAGCACAGGAGAATTTTGATATAGAGTTATTAATTCATTTATTGTTAAATAACAAAATCGTCGACTATTAGTATTTATTTCAATACTTACACATATATCAGAATTTTTTATATTTTCATTTGATGATAGATGAATTAAATCCAATATTCGATAAGTTATTATTTTATTTGGAAATAAACGCATTATTAATCGTTCAATAAAAATCATAATGACAAGTTATTCTTGAGAATAAAAATCAAAGACTATTCATACCGCGTAAATATTTTAATAATTTTTAATGCAAATAAAAATCTATTTTAAGGAGATAATATTCATAACGATTCCTTTTTTCTTTTTCAAATTACCTAATTTGAATTTAAAAACATTGAATCAAAATGAACATATAATATAAATCTTCTCTACCATGTAAGAAATGTCCGTTAGATCGTTTTATACAACTAAACAATATTCGAATTTGTGTATTATCTTAATTGAGATCTCAAAGGATATTTTAATGTTCAATAGTATGTAGGATTGTATGCATGAAATAAATTTTGGACAAATATTTTTCGAAAGTAGATGATGGTTTAATAAGATACTAATAAAAAAATTATCTTGCTATAGTTAAGTTAAAAACTAGTTTTTTATTACTGCTCGTGGTATAGATGTTTATTAACATACATCACATTTATAGAGTATATGTGTAGTGTATAAATTACATTGTTACATAAGAGAAAGAAATCACTCAATTAGGTGCGTAGTCAAATAGGAATACGACAGAGAGAATATAAGTATTTTTTTTAAATGTTAATTTCGATTAAGCAAGATCATTTATATTGACTTTTTGTTCCATTTGTAAAGATTCTTTCATAGTAATATAAATGGAATCGTAGGAATAATGTACGCTGTACTCAGCATAGAATTAAAAACAAAGGACTATAAAAAAAATTTTCTTAAACAAAATAAATAAAACTGATCCAATATCAGAATTGTTTTTCTTCTTATATTTCAGTAACAAATAATTTTCTTTATTATTATAATTCCTATAATTTATAAATCATCGAGAAAGTTTAATTAAATAATAAATGAAACAAACTACTAAACCAAAGAGAAGTGTATTTTTATACAATAGTTATATGATATTATTGGTCGATTGGCGAGAAAGAAATAATTCAATATAATACTTAATGTGTTTGTTTGAATTGTAATGCAGGAAAAAATATAAGAGTTCGATTATTATTTAAAAATCAAAATGCTAGTTTCGTATAATTTTTAAATGGGTGTTTCCCATACTAGTTAGTCCACGTGTACCTAAAGTATTTAAGAAAAGATTAGATGATCATGTGTTTGTTACAATAAATTAAGAAAAATTGCAAATATCTTTTTCCACATATATCGAACTCGATGTATTTAAATGATTAAAAGTTTACATACCATCAAACCATGTTACTTTAACATTCTTTACTTTAATTCGTAGTCCTTCCATATTACGATCAATTAATCGACTCTATAACATTTATATAAATTAATAAAAGAAAATGAAGAACTGTAATATATTACTTGATTATTCCACAATGTAATACACAAATTAGTTCCATCTTGATCAACGATTATTTCTCGTCGGGACCATATATTTTCATTTTTCATACCTGTCTACATATTAATTGACATGGATGTGCTACAGTTTTATAAGCATCCGATGATGCACGAATTGTTAAGTTTTTAAATTCGTATGCCTCTAGTAAATTTTAAGGAGAATTGTTTTTTTTAATTTCCTTTTTACTTGATTCATTTTTAATTTTTCGGTCATAATATATGAATTAAGATTGAATGCAACTAGACTTATTGATCCTGATTCATCAGTTAAATCCCAACTGGAAACTTCTCCATTTCCGTGCGTATTCGTAAAGGTTCGTTTTGGATATTCACACGTAACATAGGCTTGAATTTTCCATCTGTATTACAAGTAACATACCCATAAAAATTTAAAAAAGATTCTTTTTATAAATATCACTCAAAGGTTAAGTATCAATACTAAACATAAAATAACTTTAAGTTAAAAAATATTTTTTAGCAAAATTGAAATTGGTTAAACTATCCGTAAGATATACTATCGATCCAGCAAAGCAGCATAAAAAATTAATATAGAAATAAAATAGATAAGAAAAGATATCAACTAAATTCTTGACTCGATTATTTTGTAAAAAGCTAAGAAAAAAATTACTTACGGAAATATAATATTAGTATTAATTTCTGAAATTTGTATCAAGATTGGTTCATTACCTAATACAACAATCAAAGATAATATTACGTACAATTATAATAAATGTAAAAAATAAAACATATAAAATGCCTGATTTGTTGGTTTTCTCAGCTATGTAATAGGCCTTGTTCTAACGTAATGCTGTCTCAATTTGACAGACTAATTTCGAATTCTCTCTACAACTATAAAAGTAAAAGAGTTCGTTTAAACGTTATTTTATACAGCTCGTTAAACTTTATCTATGTTAGAAAAATCGTTAACTCTAATTGAAAATTTGAGTGCGTGAAAAAGTTTTATCATTCCATAATATTGGCACATAAAAAGAACGGTCGACTGCAACTGATTATTCTATCCTCTCATTTTTTATGACATGAGTATCAGGTTCACAATTAGTGTTACAAAATATAACTAGTAGTTAATATATACCTGACTAAATTGAAAAATTTTTTTTAGAAACTTAATTAGCTGAGCATCACATTATATGGACAAGCCGAATATCTTATTTCTTACAGAGTTTGCAAAGAAAAATAAACAATAGTTGTGACTACTCACTAGTTGCAATATTTTGAGAATCTTCATTTATACTCGAGGCAGTTTCTTGTAATGTATTTGCTGGTGCACCAATGCTCCTAAGAAATTAAATCAGTAAATATGTGTTTATAAATATAAATTAAATACTATTAAGATACGTTTCGTTGGAATTATTGTTAATTAATTCTTCAACAGTATTAGAAATATCACTAGATATGTCCATGCTTTAATCTGGAAAAAAAATAATCTATCACTCGTTTTTAATAATAATAGTAATAAAAAAGTTGTGTCGAGCAAGGGAGTCGACGTAAATGAAAAAAAGCTGAGTTTTTGTACTGTATTTTTTAAATAGACTTCAATTACTCGAATTGATTTTTGTATAATTATTCATTTATAATATTATATATCATAAGAAATGACATCATAAGTTCAGTTTATTGTTTAAATAAAATAAACAACCATATATGATGAATAAGTTCTTCTGTTAATTTTTTGGATCGATTTTTTTTCTAGAAAATATATAATAATTTTTTTACTTCTCTTATATTTGCATAGATGATATTGACATCATTAATATAAAGATTCAATTCGTAAGAAAATATTTAACGAATGCAAATATAAATCAGAATTTAATCAACGTAATGAGAAAGATAAAGAAAAAAATGGCTCCAAAAGAAATGAGAATGCTTGATGTTTATTTCTAATTAAGAGAAAATGAAGTGAAAGAATTAAAAAATTCACATTTAAAGAAATAATAGTGCTATTTCTATTAATCAGTTTTATTAAGATTTTTTTTCAAACCAAATCTATTTTAGCGAAGAATAAATCGATTTTTTTCAAATAGACGACTCTAGCTGTAAGAAGACGTTTATTTTATGATCCGAATATAAAAGCAGCGAAATAATTGATATGTATAATCTATATAAAAAGAATTTTTATATAATTTCACATGTAGCACAATGAATACTTACATTTTGAATTTATAATGAATGTATAAGTCAATTAGACGAAACTTTTTCATAAATTATTGTAAGATAGGTCATGTTCTTATTAAATTAAATCAAATAATATTAATATATAAAACAGTTGAATTATTTTTCAAAAACGTATAGAATTTATCACGATTTGATATTACTTTTGATGTTGATTTGGAAAACAATAAGACTGAGATTGAAATTAGATAATTATAAAATTTACATTGCACGAAATTCGCTTCATAAAATAGTTTGCGAGCTCATTTACTTTTTTTTATAAATGTTTTTGTTAGTCTCAGAGGAAATTGGCTTATAGAAATTTATTATACATCTTACTATCTAAATAATAATATATCATAATTGGATTTAATAGATGCTTGATGAATTTTGACGCGATAAAATTAGAAAACATTAGCTCAAGATCCATTCGTTCTTTTTGAATCAATCAGTTTAACATATTTCATATAAAATTTATGATATATCACTAGAGCAATTAAAAATAGAATATGGAGAAATTTTATTGATTAAGAATACACAAAAACACAAAAATTTTCAGAAAAAATCAAAATATATGATACAATAAGTCACCTAATTTTTTATTAGCTGTTCTTAACATATTTGTTTGTTGGAGGATACTATACAAATAATCTATTTTATTATAATAGAAAAATATTTTTCGATATTTTTCTTTTAATTGGTGATCTATTTTATTGCAATAGAAAAATTTTGTTCTATATTTTTTTTTGATTCTAAATTACGAGCACAAAAAACACAGAAAAATGGAAAAAAATATGATACAATCAATCGCCTAATTTTTTATTAATTGTTCTTAATATATGTTTTTTTTGTTCTATGTAATAAGAATCGTTGGGTGTGGCAACCCATGACTTAAAAATATTTTTTAAATTTATTTAATATTATTTAATTTCTTTTCGATAATAATAAGATCGAAATTTTATGATTATTCAGTGTTCATACATTTACCGAGTTTAGCATGACATTTAGTTGAACAAGCAATTGAAGCACGACGACAAGGACATGTTTTTTTCTCACATTTTGTTTTACAATCACATGTTGCAGAAGGATTACCACGTGCGAATAATCTTGATGCTTGTATAAGTGTTACTGTTTTTATAGTATCATAATCTATATTTTGTAATGATATTGGTTTGATACCTGACATAGGTATGAGTTGATGTACTGGAAAAGGTGTTGATAATCGACCGAAAGGACTAATGAGAAAATAAGTTGGACTATTTTTATTATCAGAACGTTTTTCAATGATGCATGGCATAACTTTAGGATCACAGTTGGTCCTATCGACCTTATTAATTGCAATACCGATAAGATCACCATTTTTATACGAATTTGCTATTTTTTGAACATGTTCATCATACATTTTTTGTCGTTTATTTTGAAATTTGAGATAGTTAACACGTGCTGAAGCACGATGTGATTCATGACGACTATATAGATATGTATTTTATTTGTTTTTTTTTGCAAAATAAATGAAGTGAAATTCTAACCTATCATCAGTAAATATTTGTTTCGAAGAAGGTGAAGTAGTTTAGTTGTTTCCGATGTGTTTGTTGTTCTATTTATTAGATTCACAGCTATTTCTAATAACAAATAATGAATTTTTAAAAAATCAACTCCTTTTTGTCAAGTGTGTACCATTTGAGTTAGTATATGATTTGTTTGGTATTAATGTTGAGTGTGATTGTTCACAAATGATGTTTTTGTCAGATGGTATAATTTTATCGACAACTAAATCATCCATTTGTACATCATCAATTAAAACGGCATCATGTAGAGATTCCCAATAATGACTATTCGTACGTATATCTTGTCCGAAGACTAATTGATAAGGTGTTTTTTTCGTGGTATATGTGGTACGTGTATTAATAGAAAAAATAACAGATGACAGTCCTTCAACCCAATGATTTGTCGAATGATCTTCCATCCATTTTCCTTTTAGTTACATGTAATATATATTAGATTTAGTTTAAAATTGACAAAAATATTGTTAGAAGAAAACAGATGAGTTTATATACTCAAAACTATTTACATCTTTAATTATCATTGTTTTTTCAATTATTTTATTTTTGTTTGATCTATAAAATGTCATTTGTCATTCCATCGAAAGTCTCTTATCTTCTCTCTGTTTTATCTAATATATTTACACGAATTTTTTTTTAATATTTTATACAACTAGAAAATAAAAATCTATAAAATGGATACAGAGAAGGTATGCGATTATTTTTATACATGAGAGAAATTAAATAATACCCTAATCTGAATGATTGGTGAATTTTTATATGAAAGTTAGTGCTCGAATAATGATTTATATATTTTCCTATAATTTTAAATCATTAATTAAATCGGAATATTAAATGAATTCAATTATTCTTGAAAATAGTACTCATATCAGTTTGAAGAATAATTTTATTTAAAAAAAATATTTCAAATAATGTTCTTTGAATACATAAATTTTAATAAATTATTCAAACTTAAAGAAACTATATATAAAAATAATATAAATCATTATTAGGAGTATATACTAATTTTTGACAACATAAATATAGAAAACGTTTCATACAATGTCTCATTAAGTAAGTTTTATCATTTCAGATCGTATGAATATCATGTCTACTCAATAAAAATATTTTAAAACAAGTTTCTCTTTGATAATTGATAGGTTATTTATCTTATCAATCATAGGCGGCGGAACGATTTCATTCTAGGGTGGGCTCAATTTTTCAAACGAATCACTCAAGGTAGTAAATTCGGGGGTGCAGAATATGCTCCTGTGCGCGAACGCGCGTTCGGAGAAATTTTTGAAAAAGTATTGACTTTGAAATTTTTTCTATGAGAAAATAATAAAGAAACTTTTTAGATGAAAATATTATTTTATACGTAAATGATCTGATATGTTCATTAGGATACTATATTTTAAATCTCTCGTAGTCTCCTCTCTCTTTTCTTTTCTTTTCTTTAACAAAAATATTTAAAAAAAACTTTGTTTTACTTGAATACCGAAGGAAGTTTTCGATTGATTTTTGTGCGTTCGGGGAAATTTTTCATTTTTATGGAGGATTCTGCCCAACTGAGCAAATTTAACGAAGATATTTTTAACTATTAATCGTTTAGTCTTTCTTGCTCACTTTGGTTATTGTTGAAATTTAATAAATACGCTATGTTTTATTTTCTCGAAAGAAAATATGAACTGAAAATGTAACGTAGAAATACTGCTTGAAAATAGTCAAAAAATAGATGAAGAAAAAATTAAACGATTTGTACTCAAAAAAAGTCTTTCAACTTTGGTTTTTTAAGATAAAGTCAAAACGGATGTATTTCAAACCAAGTACACCTAATTTTTCTTTATGTATACTCAGAACTATTGTTAGTCTTTGTTTTTTACTTTGAAAAGACATAATCTAACTTTGTTTAGCCGGCATTCCTATGCAAAAAACTTTGACAAAAAATCAATCGAAAAATGCTTAAAAATCTGTTACAGGCATACACTTTCAATCGATTTTTAATCAGAAATAACCGAAAAAATCTGAATTTCCTTGATTATTACGATAAACTGAGATAAAAATCGATTAACAGTCCATGGAAAAAATTGATTTCAAATGGCTTTTGCCCAAGACAAAATGAATAATTGATACTCATTTTCATCAATTATAATCAAATTTTTTCGTGAACTTTTAATTGACTATAAACGCAATTTATCGTATTAATTAAGGAAATTTTAGTTTTTTCGATTATTTCTGATTAAAATCGATTAATAGCGTGCGATTGCAACGGATTTTTAAACATTTTTTAATGGAGTTTAATCTTATTTTTACCCTATGTTTTTACATGCGCTATATGCGAAAAGAATAATAATTAATATATGAGCATCTAAAATTCAAAAGTTATTTTGAACAGAAGTTAAAAAAAAATATTAAACTCCGGAGTCTGAAAAACAAACAACTCGACATCGATACAGACGCTACACCAGCAAAATCCCATAAAAACACTTCGGTGGACACTAGTTAAAAAAAATAGTAGAGAAAGTGTATACTAATCTTTTAACAATAAGACATCTATCAGAACATGAAAACTAAACTATGTAAGAAAATTTTTCATGGAATCGAGCCTATCCAGGCCTTTATACGGCTTAGTTTGAGCCTACTCAAGCCTACTCTTCCGCAATCTAGGGTAGGCTCGAACCTACCTAGGCCTACTACGCTCCGGCGCCACTGTTATCAATTGTTATTAACTTGTCCGACCAAAAAAAAAAAAAAAGAAGAAGTATATCAATTTTTACTATTGCCTTTAATATCATCACTTATCATATTTCTCTCTTTAGTATGTCATATATTCAAAAATTTAATACTTGTATAAGTCTAGCTAATAGTTTATCTCATGAATTTTAAATATAAATTATTTATTTACCAAGTGCATCAGTTAGAATAGCATTAGCACGTTCAAGGAGCCCCTGTGTTTGAGGGTGTCGAGGTCTTCCATGAACAATACGCATATCTTTATAAAAGAAATAATATTTAATAAACAAATGACAAATGATTAGATTATTAATTAACAGAATTAAGCAGAATAATTAAATGTATTTTATACAATTAAAATGCATAAATTACTATATAGTTATAGCATTAGCATATTAATTCTCACTTGGAAAATCTATTTGTAGACTATTTATTAATTCATTGCTAAACTCTCGTCCATTATCACTTTGGAGAATACGTGGTGGACCAAACATGAAAAATATTTCACGTACACAATGATATACTTCACGTGATTCTTTATTTTGTAAAGCTCTCGCCCAACAAAATTTGGTAAAATGATCCTTAAGTTGTAGGATCCATTTATAAATTTTACCATGAGAACTAGCATCTGGCCGAGTTCTCATGTCAACGAGATCCATTTGGACTCTTGTCATAAATTCTAAATGGTGAGATAATAGTATATTAATAAAAAAAAAAAGAAATTAATAAAATATTCAAAATACTACAAAAATTTTATGCAAGTGTATACATAATCTGTTCTATTTTCTTTTCCATAGAAAGATAAATATATTAATATCAAAAAAAATCTCATATTTTTTGAATATTTTTAATAAATCATATGTATAAAACTCATAAATGCTGTCTAACCTAATGCAATGATTGGCTTTGACAACATGGGTTTAAGTATAGATTTTCTTTTTTGACAAGACGAACAATTTTTTAAAAATATTCGTAATAGTTCTCTATTAAACCAACTCTAATTAATGAGTAGACTATCGAGACATTTATCTCGACCACCATGTGCAGTTTCAGTATCAATCTTTTTATATATATCATACATATTTTCATATAACAAAACAGGTTTTCCAAATTTAATATCACATAAAAATTGGCGTGTTCCAATTACACGTAATGCAAATGAATTACGACACCATGATATAAAACGTGCATTATTTTCTGTTGAAGATAAATTATTTTGTAAACATGCAATTATCTTTTCATTCATTTTATTAGTAATCACTGCCTTTTCTTGAAATTTAATATTAAGTGAATTTATATGTTCATCTGCTTGCTTATAAAAAAATTGACGTGATTCATTATCTGTTGATAATATAGAGGTCATTGTTATATTTATTATAATTCTGATAATTAAAAGTTGTATTCTATTCGATTATATAAATATGCAAGTACATATGTTTTCTTTTACAATAAATTTGAATTTTATTTCGTTAGTTAAAAAAAAAATTCAAGTTTTCGCGCCGAAAAAAAAACAAATTTGCCTGTTTAATTTTGCCTAAAATTTAATTTTGACTGGGACATATATGTCTATTATGAGCTAGTATAATAACATTACCTTTCAGTAGTTTTTATCAATTAAACCTGATGCATAATATAGATTTTTGAATAAATTGCTTTATATAATTACCTTGGTTTTTTATACCAGGTCATGAAATATCAACGAGTGTTGTATACGAATA